ATTTTGTCTGGTTTATTAGCTCGTTGCTGTCCTAATTTAGAATCTTCTGGCTCTCGACATTTCTGTATACACATGTAATATACGATAATCGAAATGTCATATTTGACAAAATACTGGTATGCTAAGCTAGGTTTCTATTTTGTAAACCACTTTTATTACACAGTTATAAATTTGTCTACTGAATATGTGTCATTCTTCTACTCAGCTGCAAAGTGCACATTTCATGACCTTTGTTTTTTACAACTTTATTATGAACAATGAACTTAGAATTATAAACTATAGCCTCCAAGGGAGTATCAAGTGGCACAAACGAGCTGGGAATGTGCTGGTCAACCATCAGTGCCACATCTACATGTCCAACACACAACCTGTTATTTTGGTATAAAGAAAACTACCGAAAGTTAAGAGTATCAGCAGGTTTGAGGAATGTTTTCTGTAAGGAGAGACACACACATAGGATGATAGAAATTAATCAAGGCCTTAATGTCATCAAAATTAGAACGAAAACCTTTACAGCTCCACTGTATTAAAGTGGCCATTAAAGTCGACCTCCATGGAACCTGCTCTAGGTCGATTTGACAGACCTCTGTTGGAAGAAGGAGATTCAAGTGACTGAGGGTATGACTGAATAATGGTTCTGCATCTCAGGGCTGAAGGAGATGGACCTGAGCAGTCATTGGAAGCAATGGTGGGGACAGAGACAGGAGTAGACATAGACTTGTCAACTCGTGCATCCACAGAAGACAAAAAACTCTTGACATGATGTGAGAAAGACTCTGATGGAGCTACAGAAAGATCTGTCTGCACTCCCACTGTAGAGGTGGAATGGAGAGCAGAAGAATATGTCTGAGATGGAACAGGGGACACCATCGTCCGAGCGTCAGGGTAAGAAACGTTGGACCTCTATTTCTTCTATTCACTTAGGGCAAGATCGAAAGTAAGAAGGGTGGGAACCACCACAATTGATACAGTGAGGATCCAGTTGACACTCATAGGTGTCATGGTCTTTGTCATCACAACAAGATGCCTTAGAATGTCCGACCCGCTGTCAGTTGAAACACCTGAGAGGGTTAGGAATATAAAGCCTTACCTTACAGTTCAGATAACCTGCATTGACAGTAGCAGGCAGATGTGACAATGTAAATGTCAATACAAGAATGTTGTTAGGCAGCATAATTCTATCTTTACAAGTGGAGATACATCACACTACAGAAACTCTTTGGCTGGAGAAACCAGTGAGTATCTCTGACTCTAGGATATTTCTTAAATTCTGCTCAATGATAACTCCTTGTGAGGAATTCAAAATAGCATGAGGAGTAATCTCAATATGTATATCCCCCAATGACCTTTGAATTCAGGAGGAGTTCACTGTGTGTTGGTGTAGATGATTCCACCAAGATGTCCCCAGAATGAAGATTCTTCACTGACTTTGGAGAGCCAGCAAGCTTCTCTAATCTCTTCTGTATAAAAAAAGGGAAACATATATCCTAAAGGTTTGTCTGATAAAGATTGCATGATGAAAAAATGAGATACAGGTGCAGTATGGGGTGGAGACTGCTGTTCAGTCTTCCAAACGTGGTCACTTTCCTATCAACATGTTTTTTTTTGGGGGGGGGCACTGGGTGCAGGATCAATACAAAATAGAGAAACTCTGCTGCCCACTGACCCCACCCACCATGGAGTTCTACAAGGGGGTGCACAACAATGTGAAAGCCGAGCATTGTAGAGACGCCAGGGTTTCGTGGACATTATACTCAAATACCAGAATCAGAAACAATGTCCACAAAACCTGTTGAGAATGTTCAACACTGGTACTTGGTTGACCCTAGCCCAACTAGACCAACCAATTAACCCTGGGTGAGCCACCCCAAGAGCACCCCATCTACTGGAATTCAAGGCCAAAGTAGTATGTTAAAAGTGCCACTGACATAAACTGACCCATCAATGAAACCCCTCAACCACTAGGATCCTCTCCTCCCCTTCACAGGTTGCCACGCACAGCAAACACGTGGGTGAATGTTTAGATCCAAGAGGAGATAAACTGAAAATACAGAACCTTCCCTGGGAGGTCTCTTCATCACGTAGAGGAATCCACCTTGAGGGGCTGCTAAATACATAGAAGTGTGACAAATCTGAAGAGACGTAAATTGCAGAAGACTCCTCACCTCCAAAGAGAGCCCAGAATAAGCAATATACATCAATTTTGATACCCACCTAAAAAAAATAACTGGGGAGAGGTCCCCTCACCACGTACAGGAATCCACCTTGAGGGTTAAAGGATGATCCAGATGTTCTGAAAATGAAATATGTAAACTTTAAAATGAGAATAAGTATTTTTATTCCTATTATGAAATTCACTTTTTATGCAGACTAACTCAGTAAATCCTTAGACAAATCATTTTTAATACTTTATCAAAAATTTTGATTTTTTGTGTACGACATGCTTTTAAGGTTTACTAAATATTGCCAGATTTCATGAAGATATATGCAGTAAATTCAAAACTAGAGTAATCACTAAATCTACAGTATGGGCTAGGACCAATGGACCAAGCTCTTGTGCATATGACTAAAAACTAAGGTGGCAGTATTATTCTTATAAATAATAGAATTATTTAATATAAACAAGCAAATTTTAAATTTATAACAAATTTATAAGTTATGTTAAATGTAAGTTTACATTATTTCAGTCATACAAATTACTCAGTTATAAGATTTTGTTTCAGTTTTAAACATACAGCTTAGATAAACCATGAACTTGTATATTTTGATGTGAAATTTTTTTAGATTAGTTCATATAGAATATTTCTTTATTTTACCTTTTTTGTTGTGTAAAAGTGTTTACTACTAAGTGAGATTTATAAATGATAAACATCTTCAAATAAGAGTAATTCTAAAAATGTTTGTGTGAGGAACATCAAATCGTCAATTCCTCATCGAAATTTACCAGGGAGAATTTCCCTACTGTATTTTTCAACATATGTGTATTCAGTATAGTAACTATGCTTTTAAAGTACAGGTACCTTTTGTCATTTTTGTGAAGACATATTTTACTGTCTCATTCTTTTGTGCAAAATAAATTATATATTAATGTTTGCTTACTTTAGCACAAATGTTTTGTATTCATCCATATGCACAGTGTAGAGGATTTTTCTCTCTCATGGTAGCAATAGATATGGTTTAAATATTTAGCATTGTTATGCAGAGCATATAAAACTTTGTTAATGAGAGAGAGAGAGAAATGCAATTTCTAATGGTGACAAT